GGGCTGAGCTGGGACAGGCCCCATCTGCCAGGCCTCGGTCCTGGAACACATCTTATAAAAGGCCATGGAGATCGAAGAGGCAGAAGAAGAAAGCTCAGGGCTCATGCTCACCTGAGGCACCAGCGTACAATTGTGGCCTGTGTCCATCACCTGGCCCACAATATTGGTCCATGGCGCAGGGATGGAAAAAGAGGCATGATCTACAGAGCGGCTCCAAGAAAAAGGGGCTCATTAACAAAACTGAACACAAAAGGATAAAGCACAAAATAAATTGTTTTATTTTAAAAAAAGGACCATAAAGAGTCAAGAGCTAAAATGGAAGAAATAACTAAAAAGAACCACAAAACAAACATACTAGGAACAAAGCAAACATGAGCACAGGACTCAGAACAATTAAAGCTACAAACACACAGTAACAAGTACACATCTTAAACATAATGACTAACTGAAGAACAGAAATGATGGCAGGCACTTAAATACATACAGACAACAAGGTTAACAAGGGTTGGGCCATAACTAAATCAACCAATCAGGACAGGCAAAAAGACACAGGTGGAATACATTACAATAAACATACACAGGAACCAGGAAACATTGACAAACACTGAGGCCTAAAACTAGGAAAGACTCAGAACATAAGCATAAGCAGGCATGGGCAGAAGAAATCAAACCAAACCAAAGACAGATAAGCACCAAACACTAAAGATAAGCCAATTATAAATTGCACAACAGCTGAACTCATAACTGGAGGGATACAAACTCTGAGCCGCACGTTTAACCCATTGAGCTTCATGACAACCCTGCGGGCAGGGAAACACACTAGGGGCTGAAGGGCTACAAGACGAAGAGAGGGGGAGAAACAGGATGACCAGCGACACCTGCTGGCCAAAGGGGGACAAGACACATAGATCTGTAGATCTTCCATGTAATAGTAAAATAAGTGTGGCTTAGTGACATGTGTCCTCTGCCAAGAACACAAGAGTCAGGACTGGAAGCAGTGCTCATGTTTCGGCTTGTCCAGGGTTTCAGTACAAACTGCAGTTTTTTTTTGCTCTTCCTAAATACTTACATAGTTCTAACCTTTCATGACCCTGAGGTGACATATACCTTCAAGGACTCTGGAAAGATATTTTTACTCCAATGCTGTGGCATGTCAATGACTTCAGCGCGATATTCTAAGTGAACCAATGCCACCTTGAGATCCCTCAGGAACGTGAAAATAAGTCTGACTTTAAATGTTTCCTATTTTTGGGTCCTCAATAGTGGAACAAGCTGCCCCTCCACATCCAGTCACAGAGTCCCTCTCTACCTTCATGAAACCATCTATTCCAGGAACACCTCAACAAGCTCTCTAACCACTGTGATCCCTTGCCATGTCTCCCTTGTATTTTTGAACTTGTCTTTGATTTTACAGTTTTTCACGATTGCTTCAAGTAATTTCTCAAGAGACATTAATATTTCCAAAACAACAAGTGTAATCCCCACGCCATGACATCACTTCTACACAGCTGAACATCATTTCTCATTGTTTCACACAAATTTCCAGATATTTTGCTGCATATATACAAAGGGTTTTGTACAATTGTCATGATTTGGCAAAAATTTCAGTTGCTTTGGTCATGTTAGTCAAAATAGATTATGTGGTTTCCCACTGTAATAATTTTACACCCAAAACTACACATGTATGAGATCATTGTGTTAGTCACCACATGCAAAACCATTAACATTTGCAAAACAACAAGTGTAATCCCCACACCAAAATGTCACTTCTGCACAGCAGAACCTATGGTAAAATTTTACACCCATAACAGTATACACATGATTATCGTGTTGCAGTTTTCACAATTGTGTTTGGTTCCCACGGTACATGATTTTGTTGCCATTTTGCTGATTTTGTGTTATACAGTGCTGTGTGACTCTTTGTTTGCTATTGAGATCTGAAGAAGTTATATGTGCATGGGAGAGCTTTCTCTTGCCAGTGAACTTTACATACTGTAATGTAGAGCCTTGCAGTGTTGAAACTAGGCTTTGACATGAGGAAGAATCAGTTTGCTAATAAAAAATGATCAGTCAGTGACAATGTGAAAGTAGGAACCGACTATCACTCAGAATTGTGGCGCTCACGAGTTGACTTACACTGACATACTGACAATATATCTAAATATTTTGACTTTTCATTTTGCTGGCAGTGAATAATTCATTGGTGGAATTATTTGCTTTTGAGACAGGAATCAGCTAAACCACAGTGTTGTGCTACATGCATGAACGGTTTTGTGAAATGCTCTTATAGCCTAGAGAATGTTAAGTATGCTTCATGAAATGTGCCAAAGCAATCGAGAAAAACTGTAACGTTGTTTGCAGGACCATTTACCTCTGGGTCAGTGGGGAGGGCCTTTTTCCTGCTCAGCGCTGCATGGTGTGGGAAAATTGGGAGATGGTTAGAGCTGCCCAGAGGTCAAAATAACAGCAATGAAGAAAAATACACTTTGTGACTGATGGATTGGTGGGGGGTGGGAGGGGGGGGGGGGAGCACTTTTCAGATTTCTTTCTTGAAACCACTGTGAGCTCTGCTTTGAAATGGTCCCTGTAGGTATCTTCTGTTGATCAGGATGACAGGCACAGGTATCATCAATTCTGTTACTATTGCAATTCAACAAAATATATAAATATTGCTTCCAAAACAAACTTAAATAAAATATGACCAAAATGTCAAATACTTTCCATTACCTTAGCCTGCACCCCTTGTTTGAAAATAGCACAAGTGATCGGACCCTCCCGAAATACAATGCTTAAAATACCCAAACAACTTACAAAAACATGCCCAAACATGTTGTAGTGTAAATTCTGACAGTCACAAGATGCTAACCAAACACAAAACAATTTTAATGAAGTTTTACTTACACAGATAAGCTTGAATTGTAAACAAAACTCATCGTGGCCGAAAAGGGCCATCAAAGTGGATAGTCGATAGTCATTTTACAAGCTGGAAACAGTTGCCATTCAGTAAAACTCGAATGGATAGTCTCATTTTGTTCAGTAGGCAGAGCTGCATAATGAATGCTGTGAATCATGTATATATGCATGTATACGTGCTGAAATCCATGGGTGAAAACTAAGATAGGCCGAGATAACCATGCTTTGTGCTGTGACTGTTATGTTATTCATGTAAGCAAACAGGAAGTGCACAGTTCCCCTAGTGGCCACCTTGAAATGCAAACATATTTTCTTAATACAGTGGTACCTCACTACTCAAACTCATTAAAACTCGAATTTCTTAAAAGTCGAACCAACCAGTTTGAAAAAAAAATGATGTAGAACTCGATCTGAATCTCAGAAGTCGAACCGTGAACGCCGACCTAAGATAACTTGTATGCGCGAGGAAATGAATCACGCGGCACGTCTCAGCGGAAACAAAGGGTAAGGCTTCAGTCTCAGCCTCGCATCCGCTGTGATAGCATTGTTTGTTGGTGATAGTGCTTTTTTATTGAAAATATCAGGTACTTTATATCATTTTGGTAGCCATCGCACATTGTTTGGATACATTTATTTTCTTACTTGACAAATTTGTCAGGCCCGGCTCGTGCGATCCTCCTGTGTGCCACACCCCCCTCGTTAACCTCGTGTGATATCCCGATGTCATCTGCTGTTTCTTGTTATTTCCAGTTAGTCATGTGTATTTAAGTCCGCATTCAAGTATGTTTCCCCAGTCCTGTCATTGAAGTCTACTCCGCCTTGTTTGGCAGCAGTAAACCCCGTGTTCTTGGATTTCCGTCTGCCTGACCCTGATTCCGCGCTCCCTGCTCTCTCGTCCTGCGCACGGTGTGACAAAATTACTGTTCATTTTGTGTTTAAATGCTAAAGAGAAAAGCATAATTAGGTGTAATTTTTTGGGGCCGGGAACCAATTAGTTGGTTTTCCATTATTTCTTATGGGGAAAATTCGATCAGAACTCGAACTTTTTAGGATTCGAACCCGAGTTTTGAACGGATTAAGTTCGAGTTCTGAGGTACCACTGTATTTTTATTTGACTATGTCTATATAATATGATTAATTAATCCCTATTAATTGAAACCACATTAATCAAATATAATCAGCAATCATAAAAATTACTGATGCACTATTGATTCATCTCAATATAATTAAGTATATGTAATTTACAAAGTACATAATATGATACTCTTCTAATTATGTCAAGTTTAATGTGTAAAATAATCACTTCTCTTTTCTTTTTTTCACTCACCATTGTGGCATCATACTTATCCTTAGATATAGTTAAGTGGGCAAATAATCAAATATAAAGAAACCAGTCGGTCTGTAGTAGACATAACAAACACATGTGCTTGCAATGCACTGACTATGTGTGTCAACTAAGGAGGCTGTTTCAACCAGAAGGTTGCTGGTTCAAATCCCGTGAATGCCACAAATGGTCCTACTCCGTTGGACCCTTGAGCAAGGCCCTTAATCTGCAATTGCTTCATCGTGGGTATGACGTTAATCTACATCCAACCCTATAAGGAGGTTCTCCAATTTACAGGGAAATTTGGGGGTTGGTGGCAGGATTGGCACTCCAGCCATCACAAAAAACTCACACCGGTTTGTCGTGTGGCAACGCACTATAATCAGCACATGCTCCTTACCTCCTCCTAGAAATAAAATGACTTATTATCTGCCTTGAGCCTGTAACTTCCAGAATAGATTCCCCCCCTCACCCCCCCAGCATACCATGTTAGGTTAATTGATACCTCATTGAGATGAGGTCTTCATCTAGTCATCCAACAAAATATCAGTAGCTTTTTTGGAGAAGAGAAAGAAAACTTGTTAGTTTAAACTGTGTTACTGTTAATTTGCACATTCAAATATTCACTTCCTACCAGGATAAATAGCTTCTTCAAACTACATCAACTGTTAGACATTATTCATATCTGCTACTTTTAAATATTGTGGTTAGGAAAGAAACCAGAAAAACCAGTGATGGAATTCAGATTTAAACTTTACTGTGTGAAAAATAATGGCACTTATTTTTTTCCTTTTAGAACAAAGCCAATACCATATAAATAAAATAAAAGACAAATATCCATACCTATATATATATATATATGATTATAAGTGCAAAATGTTTGTGCTGTTTGCTTGTATCAACCAACACTATAAACGGCAGACATTATAATTCACAACATAATTATAATTAAAATAATTGTGTTTTTTAAGTGTGTCCTTTAGGACAATATTGCACTTTGAAATTGGCAGCACCAAATAACATAATACCATAATTACTCATTAAAACCCATCAGTGAGAAAACAAAAAAATATTGCACAAAACCCAACGTCATAGTAAACAGTCGTGCAATAGATAAGAACAACTACTTTATAATCTGAAGGCTGGTACTTCTAGTTATAGGAGGAACAGACAAGTCCTGCCTGTAGTACCTTCAGCCTGAATATCTCCACTAAAACTAGAATAAACAAATCGACAAAATAAGCAGCTCTTTTAAAAAGTGTCATTTTTCTATTATATAAACTCTGAAAATGAAGTCTACACAAAAGTGTTCATAGTGCAATGCTACATGTTGGCAGTAAAAACTGCCGTTGCTGAACCATATTGTTTTGTTTTGGCCCCCAGCTTGACCAAGGGAGACACGAGGGTTACATCATCTGCTTGGACACCAACAGATAGGGCACTAGGGCCAGGGTAGCAGCCTCGATGGAGAACAGGTGGTCATCTTCTACCTCTGGGCAGTACCGCTTCATGAACTGGGCCAGGCGGAGCAAGTATTCAATGTTGTGGCCTGTCTTGCCCTTGCAGACGGCAATCTGGGCGGCGATCTCCTCTGGGCTGGCAGGTCCTTGGTATATGGGGTTGCTGGCTGTGGCAATGTAGGTCAGGGCGAGGATCGGCGTGTGGCTGTCCTCACGCGAGATGAACTCCACCCACTTGGTGATGTAGCCGCCACATTCAGACTCCCTCACATTCAGGTATTTGAGGGACTCTTCGATCTGGGAGCCTGTCACCTCATACGCCACACCCCAAGTGCATGCCTGACAATCATATGAAAGCAAGAGGTAAGTTCTCACATAGATATTTTTCGACCCCCCAATTTGCCAGTTTTAAATTTCACCATCCAGTGTTAAATAATTTGAAAAAATTATCATCTATTAACTGAATACTGTTAGTCTATCGCAATGTGTTTCTTTAATGCCCCCGACCTCAAACAGACATGCATCCACATGAAGAGTTTAAACTAAAAAATGAACAAGTAAAACCACGTATTTCGGAAATAAGACACTTACGTCATCATCTTCCACCAGAGTCACAACTCTTCCGGGCTACATGAAGAAGCAAGAAAGAGGAACAAGTTTAAATACAAAACTGACCTATTTATTGAGTGACAGCTGCCGAATGAGCATACGTTATAAACAGTCATAAACAACTAGATGACCTCGTTCCTAAGCATCACTTAAGAGTTCACATAAATATCAGATAGTATTGAGAACCCCGTCTACTGTACAGTAGTTAACTACAGGAAGAAGATCGACTTACCATATCAATGTCCCCTCTGTGAAAAGTATCGCCGTGCCAGAAGCGTCTCTTATAGCCCTGTATGTAGCCAACTTTGCTCCGTTTGAACTTGAAGTCCGGTCTCCAGACGAGAGAACCGTAGCCAAAAACCCAAAGACTCCTTTGTTCATTGATCATGTCCTGATGTTTCATTCCTCACGTCCTTCAAAAATTTCGCTTCAGATAGCCTCTAGTTGTACAAGTTAACAGAAGCCTGACAGCCTTTAATGTATTTTTAACGTGATCTGCAATTTGATTGCCTTATTCTTCCACTCCCCATGGTTTTAATACTTCAGCATCTTCTATCTTGATGTTTTAAAATCCAGTGTAAACAGTCAATCCCTTCATTATTAAACAAAAGTCCAATAAAATGTGCAAAATGGCAGATCTGGCTTAATTAATCTACTAAGTATAAGAGAATCTACCGCCGTCCGTCAGCTGCACAGATCATTTATACCGCAAGAGCCGGGCACACGTGTGTTTGTGATGCCGGGCCTGTCAGTTGAGCAACAGCTGGACCAATCAGAGCACAGATAACCGTGGGCCTGAACGTCACTAACCAATCTCAGCGACGTGTTCCATGCGGTCTACAGAAACCCAGCGTGATACGCCTGTTGGTCATAAACAAAAACCCAAATTCGCCTTAAACATTAGTAAGTCGAAAAAGAAGAACCTAAGAGTAAAGGGTCTTCTTCTGACCGGCTACGATTTTGTTCACTGCCACGATTTTATTTCTCCGTTTTTGGATACACGTGGATGCGATCCCCCGCCCCATTTAGAGCAGCGTCATAGGTTTCTACGCAGAAACGGCTGACGTTCAGAGGAACTCGTCACAAATCGTTTATCGTAATCCGTCTGGAAAGAATTTTCCACTTCGGCGTAATTGACGCTTTGTATTTGTATTCTTGATATGTAACATATTAAAAATGTCAGTAAGCGTCTACAAAACAATGACTAAATGCAACTTAAAGCACGAATAGCAAACGCGGAACCCAAATGCTATAACTCATAATGAACCAAAATTAGTGGGTGTATCAAAGGGGAAGCTTTCACGACCTGAAGCTGATATTCATTACTGAGGAATATACAGAAAATGAGTCCCTTCTTCACTTCAGTTTAAACCCAGTTCTAGACCGTCACCCAGGGGTATTGATGGGCCAGGATACCCTAGCTAATTCAGGGGGTCCAGCACTGTACAAAAGCCTCAAAAAAATCTTTATAAAATAATTTTGCTACAAGTTGGAAATTGTACATATAATTTTATGGGCAACTCCACATATTCTGCCATAATCATAGTAAATATGGGAAGACAAAGAAATTTTGTTCTTTTGTTCGATTAATACATGTCCATAATGGAAAAAATAAACAAATATTGATGCATATGTGTATGTAATATAATTACAATATAATTTAGCATATATTAATGAAACAAAATTACAATATAAGCATATATTATTTATTAGCATATATTGATTAAAATAACTTTTGTTATTTGTACAAATACAAATCACAAATTCACCAGTCCAATAGAATGATATTTTAATGTTATTTTAATGGGGAAGTAAAGAGCAAACAGTAAAGGTCTTGACTCATCACAGAGAAAACCGAAATTTCGGATTCTGGAAATGGCCCCTATAGGTGTCTCCTGTTGATGACAGGCAGTGGTCTTACCAGAATGCCATCCTGAGGGCTGGGGGGGGGGTAGTTAATTAGTTTAATTAATTGCAATTAAATAAATTGTATTCATATTGCTATAGCTACAGTAATGATATTTTATCTTTAAACAGGACAAAGGGGTATAGTAAACGGCCCAACAGTAATCGTTTGTCACTTAGAGAATGACAATTGCTATGGATCATAGGTTCTCCTGTCTGGTTACTATAGATGTCAGTACCCATGACCGTGTCATACATTCCACTCCACCAATCTCCCTGACCAGGTTTCCTAATGGGGAGCAAGAACATTGATGTGTAGAACCTTCTACGTTGGTACATTACCACCCATGTCTCCAACAGCACGGGAGGCCAGCCTGTGCAGTTAGCATACAGTGTTCTTACCCTGTATTGCTCTCAGACTGATTTTGCTTAATGAACGCCTGTAGGTCGCTCATACATTGTAAAATCCACTAATTCTTTAAGTTTCACGTTGTGTTATAGTTTTTCTCCCTTTCTGTTTAGCCAAGGGAGTGACATTCCTCTCAATAGTAGGAGGGATTGCAGCATTGTTGAAAAACACTCCTACTATCTTGACGCAGTTGAGTTTCATTGTTATGGTACAAATCGTTTAATATGTCCTGTCCCACAGAAACCCCAGCACCAGACACCCTCACTGCCATACTTCTTTAGCCATGAACACTTTTTTTCCCTTAACCCTAATCCCAACTATGGCAACCTTAACCGCTATGCAGGCCTAACCTTAACCATAAGTAACCAAATAAAATAAAAGACTTTTTGAAGTTGGGGTCCGAAAAAATGTCCCTACAAATTCATAATAAGAGGATTTCAACATATTTTTGGAAATGTTATTATATTGTGGGGACAATATAATAATCACACACACACACACACACACACACAGAGGTTTGTAATTATATCTTTGTGGGGAAAACTCTAATCCCAACCAAACAAAATAAGAATCTTTTGGCATTTTTAGTTTTTTGAATGCATTCACAGATATTTGTGGGGGCCTGAAAAATGGTTCCCACTATATGAAAATAACAGATTTTTATCACATTGGGGGGGGGGTGGGCAGTTGGTCCCCACAATGTAACATAAACATAATTTGCACACACACATGTTCCTCTTCATGTATGCTGCTACTTCAGGAGCATTTCAAGGTCGACCCCCTTGTAGCATTCGTTTCCTGCAATATCACACAATAGCCCTCCATTTAAACCTAGAACAAAACATACATCTCACTCATCGGCTAAATCCTTCCGTGACCTTTTCTCCCACGGTGCCCCAGATGCGGAGCAATGGGCTTGACCCTGAAGTACCCCAGGGGACTCTAAAGAAACTCTGATCCCAGGGGGATTTGTAAAGAATTTTAATCTAATTTGTACATTTTTCTCCTGTTCTAGGTGCTGGATGCTAATTATATAACACTAATAATACTACTAATAAGAAAATTGACTAATCGAAAAATAAAATATTTGTATGGCTATTTAATGACATACTCCTCCTGGGAAAAGTAACTGTAAGTTAAATGTGTCTAGTAAACATAATGATGTCACATTTTCCTGTCTCAAACGTGTGGACAGGCACAATACCTATAATTAACCACCGGAAACTGAATAAGATGGGGTTCTGCAATTTCTGCCTGTTGCATAAGAAGAAAAAACAGGCACAACCCGGCAAAGCAAGACACAACACTCAGCATGCAACAGTGACTTGGTGAGAGGCGTGTGAAAACATCTGGGGAAATAGGAAGGAAGTGGACCTCACGACAAAACAGAGATCATCACCATTTGTGCCTCTGGTGGAATAAATGACACAAAAATGACTCAAAAGCCTAAGGTTTTAACTCAAAATAGACACTGCTTGCTGTTTCATCTGTGTGTGCTGAGAAGCACAGTATTTATAGTGGACTAAACAGGATATATTCTCATTGTTGGTTCCTGGTCAGGTTACCTGGGTTATTGAGATAAAGCATGAAAGATCACATTAATCTCACGCAGCAGTGAACAACACACGTCTTCTGTCACCTACATGGTTTCAGCAGGTTGCCAAACTGTCTGCGGGTGTGAATGTGTGTGAATGGTGTGTGTGCTCTGTGATGAGTTGGCTCCCCATCCTGGGTAATCCCTGCCTTATGCCCATTGCTCCCGGGATAGGCTCTGGACCCCTGCAATCCTGCAGAGGACAAGTGGGTATAGAGAATAGATGGATGGATCGATGGATGGATGGATGGATGGATGGATGATGGATGGTTTCAGCAGTGTATGGTGGGAAATGTCACATTGTTTCATCTCAGTAAAATCCAGACATATAACATCATACTGTAATTTTCTTATGTAAATTCCTTAATAAAAACGTCAGATGTTGAATTAAGCCCGAAACAGTGTGATAACATTGTTTTGGAAGGTCCTGCATGTACCATGATGCTTATAACATAACAGAAATGTATCAATGTTGGATGAAATAGTTAAAAAATTCATATGTTATTATTTTTATTATTATTATTATTATTATTATTATTATTATTTTAAACAGAACTACTATATAGATTACTATAGAGCATGCGTTCATAATTCTGATTCAATTGGCAAGCTATGTTTTGGACATAGGGTGTTCTAGACAATTGCAATGTTGTACCATGAGACCATATAAAAACCATACAAAAGAAAACTAGTTCTCCCCCTTTAACCAATGACACTCAGTTACAGATTAACAGAGTTATACATTTCATATACAGCAGCTGTTGAACTCCCTTGGAAAAGGCTGTAGCCCTTAAAATAGGTGAACTCACTCAGTTTCATAAACAGCCTGCAGGTCCCTACAGGAGCCTGCGCCATTGTAACCTCTCACCCAGTTAGCAGGCGATTCTCAGAAATACAAGGTTTGCTGAGCTTGGCAAGTCACATTTGGCCGCTCTAAACATTCTCCCACAAAGTAAAGGGGTGCACACTTAACTTATTTAACCAAAGAGGGAAGAGAATTTCTCTGTCTCACGGTGGGTAAATTGGATCTCTGATGTCGGGTTTACAATGTTACAAAAAGTACTGTGCCGCTTGCATGATAAAGAACCCAGCCCCTCAGTATCTACAACCATATAATTAAGAATTACTATAATTGCTAATCGTAATATATTACCCAATAATAACGAGAGGACTGCCACTTTCGCAAGAAACTCCTGATACAAGTCGTATTCGGAGCGTCACTGGAGATTCATGCGAAGATTTGCTATATCCTATATTCTTATAAAACCACGAACTTAACAGAATTGAGAAATAGATCGCTAACGCGGAACCACCAATGTTCAGAATATAGTTGCTGTGTTGACGAAACACTGAATCATTATTACATTCTGTTCTGATGCAGACGCACATTTGCATGAAGAGAAATATGTTTGTGTACGATTCAGCAGTGGGTAAATATAGGCTTGTTTACTTCGCTGGAGACTGCTCAATGAAGCTGTTACGCATAGGGCAGGGTGCGATCAAGACTGCGGTATGTTATGCCATTTCTCAGTCACTGTCAAATAAGACATGGATTAACACCCACCTAAGGTATGCCAAACACATAAAATCCACTGAAAATAGAACAGGCTGTACTGGAGAGTTCATAGGTGTCACCAGATGTTTTTCCATGGGTGGGTATGTGTGTTTTTCCGCAAGACAGGAGATACTTCAAATTACAAGACGACAGAGATGTTTGTAAAATAAGTTCTAACAATCAGTGAATCTCCATACTCCTGCTGTGCCATATGTTGCAGTTTTGGTATGCTACTCAGTTTTTGATTACTTTGATTGGTACAAACAAGTTCATCTGGATATGCTGGCAGATTCGGGAGTCCCAGCACTTAACAGGGGCGCTTGAATATGTAAAAGTATACACTTATCTATTTATTTATTTATTACTCACAAATGCAATAAATGACAGTGTGCTTCAAAGTTTCATTTC